AATTGTCGAAAGGAAATGTACTTTTGTACTGGTTCCTATTATCTCCAAACTTAGCAAATGACTTGATGCATATTGGAAATCTTCTTTTGTAGTTCCTGTCTCAAGATGTCTGGTGAACCACCTGATCCCACGAATCATTTCCCTATTAATCTTTTGCTTCTTTTTGAATTAAGGGCTTTATCCAACTCCGAATTTTTCTATCTTTTTTAATTTTTTTAACATTATATACTATTCTACTAATAGTTATTTTTTGTTTAATATATATATATATATATATATATATATATATATATATATATATATATATATATATATATATATATATATATATATATTTATATATATATATATATATATATATATATATATATATTAAAACAAAAATAACTATTAGTAAATATATATATATATATATATATATATATATATATATATATATATATATATATATATATATATATATATATATATATATATATATATATATATATACTTGAGTTCGATGAAGTCCTAAGGACGTAACGTGTCAATGAAATTTTTACAATATCAATCATTAATATTCATAACATTGTTCTGGTATTATCTTTTTTTTTTTTAACATTATATACTATTCTACTAATAGTTATTTTTTTTTTATATATATATATATATATATATATATATATATATATATATATATATATATAAAATAAATAAATATATATATATATATATATATATATATATATATATATATATATATATTTACTTGAGTTCGATGAAGTCCTAAGGACGTAATGTGTCGCACGAAACTTTTTACAATATCAATCATTAATATTCGTAACATTGTTCTGGTATATAAAAATGTATATATCTTTTCTCACACAAAACATATATATATATATATATATATATATATATATATATATATATATATATATATATATATATATTGTATTGTATTGAACAGCAGGGCCAATTTCTTTGTTTTTGGCATTCATTGAATCCATTTGAGTTTAAGATCGAAGATGAATAGTAGTTTCAGAATTTCAGTTTTTATTTCGTGGTATTTATATTTTGATGTCTTAAACAGCTTTGGACATACAACATTTTTTACCGGATGACCCCATCTTAGAGAGCAAAATTAAAGGAACATATAGTCTTAAAGTAAATAACATTTAATATTTGTTTGCATAACCCATACTTGCAATAGCTTGCGACCCATTGACATCACCCAATTGTTGCGTTCTTCATTTATGCTGTTTTTCCAGACTTCTAACGCAGCCCCTTCCCATCACTTAGGTAGAGATAAATATTGGTCTCATCAATCCATAACACTTACTTCCAGAACTTTGGTCGCTTATCACAGTATTCCCTTACTAATTCCAATCCGGCCTCCCGATTCTTACTGCCGATTAGTAGTTTGCATCTTGAGGTATGGCCTCCATATTTCTGCTCTTTGAACTGTAGATCTCTCTTCTATGTCTTTTTCAGGGCATTCGAAATTGTTGTGTTGGCTATGCCCAATGTTAGTCCAATGGCTCTGATCGATTTTCTTTCTTTTCTCAGTTTCAAAATGACTTGTTGTCTCCCATAGACCGCTCTCTCGTCTTCATGTTGATTTATCCATTTTAAGAAGAAATGCAATCTTTACAGGTGAAACCAAAGACTAAAACAGACTTACTTAATTTTTAAACACTCAATCCAAAAACTTACTTAATGTTTAAACACTCAATCTAAAAAGCATGGGTAACAAGTACCACCTTTCAGTCACCTGTTCCAATAGTTTTGTTCACTTGAAAAATGTGTGAGTTCAAACAAAAGGTGGTATGTCCTAAGTTGTTTAACGCATGTAAATGTAACTACCAGAAAAAAATATTAACTTTATTTGGGTTTATTAATTATGATCTAACAAATCTTATTCATTTAGTAGCCTTTCTGTAATAATAATCTTTTACAATTTATGATTTTTACTTATTGAATACAGTAAAAAAATTGGACACCATGTGTATTTAAAGTAGTTTCCCGTTCCGGGTATTATTTTTAGTTAGGACTTGTGTATGTTTAGATTTCATTATCTTTCACTAAAGATAAAGAATTTATCCGATGTTTGTATTCGTACAATCAGTAGAGATCGTTAGATTATCGTTTAAGGTTGACGGACACGCATGTCTTAATTAGTTTTTTTTTATTTTTTACGAATTGATCAAACCCAAACTCAAACTCATTGTTTTCAATCGTTATGAGTCTCCCGATTGAATAGAATTTTATTATAAATGATTGTCTTGTAAATGGAATTTTTAAAGCATTCTGAATGTTAAAAATAAAGAAAAAAGTGTGCAAGAGAATAAGAAACACTACCTGCGGAAAAAAAAAAGTGAAGTTTTGTTTTATCGGCTGAAAAATATACGAAATCCGATGTGAGTTGTCCCCCTTCCATTTTCACGATGTCTCTTAATCGTGTTTTCAAATTGATTTTGTGCAAAAACAATTATATTTTTCCCATTTTTGGCGCTGTTAGACCCACCACAAGGTAATTTTATGTAGTCCTGTGAAGTTTTGTTGAAATCGGTTGAAAAATGTAGGAAATCCGATCCAATATATAAACGTTACAGACACACACACACACACACACACACAATCTGCGTTTTATAATAAGTAAGATTATGGATGATAACGACTACCAGTTGTCAAAATTTCAGCTTTTCACAGTTGTTATTTCTAACAAATATTAGGTTTTAAAATTTTGTCCCTTAGTTTTGGACGCTAGTGTATATCATAATTAAGTAATTCATTCATCTTCTGTTCAGGTTTCTTCTAGACTCGATGAATTACTTAATTATGATTATTTCAAATCCTAATTATTTCTATCTGTATAACCTTGCTTGAACCAGCTTCTAATGCACTGGACTGAGCAGCTTGGAGATAGTAGTCGTAGCTCCCGGGGGCACAGTCCTATGGGTAAAGAGAAACTCGGATGAGTCCCACCACGGAATATGTGATCGAGCGGCGCTATATCGAATCTAATTCTTCGTACCTCTTTGTCACCGAAGCTCGTTGTTGGTACAGTTGGTATGACAACTTGCCTATGCGCACTGCTGATGAGTCCCAGATATAGGACGAAACGGCCGTACAGTGCTTCCTGCATTTTGTTGAGGTTTCTTCTAGAATCGATGAATTAATTCATTATGATTATTTCAAATCCTCCTAATTATTTCTCTCTCTCTCTCTCTATATATATATATCTATATATATCTATATATATATATATATATATATATATATATATATATATACGTGTGTGTGCTTGCGTATGAACATTAAGGTTGAATGAAGGTTTGCCACATAAATTCTATTTCTCACAGATATAAAATAGTTTTTATAAAAAAAAGCCTGATTTACCGAGTCAAAATAATCTCTTCTTCGGATATCTCATTCTATAAGGAACTTACTAACATTAATCAACAATAATTTCCCTAACCACGTCGTCGACGAACAAATAAATTAGCCTTAACGGATTTTAGAAAAATTGACGACAGACCCCTCCCTGACGCAAACAAAAATATACACACTATCAACTTATTCTATCGTAATCAAATGCACCCTAAATATAAGATAGATGAAAAAGCAGTTAAAAACATAATTTGCCGGTACATATCACTCATTGATTCTAACAAACACCTTAGATTTATCATCTGCTACCAAAATGTTAAAAAAAATCTATCAAAAATTATCAGCAAAATCGGACCTTATAAATGCCTCCTCCTATGTAAAAATAATGTTGTCTATGAATTCTCATACCATCTCCAACACTAATAATCAAAAAGCAACATTAAATATTTACATTGGACACATATGCACCACACTCTCTCGCAGATTGTTATTTAGTTACCTGTCGAAACTCAGGGCAATACGAGCACACATCGATCAGCACATGAACGACCGAAGTACAACTATCAACATAAGCTCATTTTCTGTATAGATAGATTTATTTATTATACTGGGAACGTGCGCCATTACCGGCTATTCGGCGAATTTTAATCTGGAAATAATACTATATTTTGCATTGATAAGGGGAGATAATATGCTGAAATATAAATATTTTTTTGTAACGCATAATAAAGCATATATCCAAATTTATCCTGGGGATTAATTATTTTATTCCATTATATTTAGTATATATTAAACACAACTTTTTGACGGATACAATAACTGCATATATTTTGTATTAGTTAATTCTATGAATTAATTTTCAATAATAGAAAGGTTTTCTTTCTGCCTTTGAGACTAAAGTGTCTTTGTTACATTTGTTGCCTTTTTTTAATTTTATTTAGTATTTTTATTTGTGCTAAATAATACCTGTTTTAAAAGAAAATCTGATAATTGATTTATTGTCTATTGAAATCACAATATAAATTACAAGATGCACTTATTGGAAGGGTCTTGAATAATCAAGTTCTTGTTGTTATCTGCCATGTGGAATCACGAATCCATTTTGACACCCAAAAAATACGGCTGCGAAAAGTTAAAAGCTTTGAGTTTTAAAAATGATTGTCATACTTAAAATAAATTTCATTTAAATGTGTAATGATTCTTCTTCTTCTTCTTCTTCTACTACTACTACTACTAATAATAATAATAATAATATTACTAATAGTACTTCTACATTTTTCTATTTCTTCTTTTCCTTCTCCTTTTTAAAAAATAAAAAAATTTAAAAAAATACAGCGAAATCTCAATGATTAATATCCTCACATTCATTTGATTGCTATGGATATAATGAAGCGTTTTGGCCATTTTTAAATCGTTCATTGTCAGTATTAAAACTTCCGTAACTGAGCCCTCTTAGGTCTGTGTAAATTCACTTAATTTCCGGCTTTGAGATCGCCAACGTCAGTATTTTATAAAGGTACACTGCCTAGAAAGCGAAATAGGTCTTTAGCCTGGTACAATTGTTCCTATCTGAAAATGTTAGCTGAACAAAATAGATAGATAGATAGATAGATTGCTTTATCAGTCAGCCTGTTCATATCTATCTATCGATCCATCGATCTATCTCAGTATGTTAATATCTATCTATCTATCTATCTATCTATCTATCTATCTATCTATCTATCTATCAATCTATCTCAATTCGTTCATATCTATCAATCTCAGTATGTTAATATCTCTATCTATCTATATATATATATATATATATATATATATATATATATATATATATATATATATATATATATATATATATATATATATATATATATATATATATATATATATATATCCGTTCATATCTATGTATCTCAATCCGTTCATATCTATCTATCTATCTATCTATCTATCTATCTATCTATCTAGCCTTGCAATGCATGTTTTGCTAACAAATCCTAGACAGATGGGCCTTCTTCATTTGGAAAATAGTTGTAAACCTCCCTTCCCCACCACACCCCATAAATCTCTCAATCCTCCCGCAAATCTCCGGATTTCTTTTTCGTTTTTTTCATACACACTCCTCTTTTTAATTGCATTCTATTATTTACGCCTTCTCTTTCTCTCTCTCTCTCTCTCTCTCTCTTTCTCTTATCCTCTGTCTTTCTTATTCACTTTATCTCTCTTATTATCTCTCTTTCTCTCTCTCTTATTCTTTCTCAATTATTCTCTCTCTTATTCCCGTAATCATTATTTAATATTCCATGTACCTTTTACAGGTCACAGAGTTTTCACATAATTATTTCAATGGCCCCCCCCCAAATTTTACTCGCTTAAAAACTGTCAACACCGAACAGATGGACTGAACTGTTCTGCTCTAATTAAAACAAATCCGTGGTGTCACCTCACTGAAAACGATGGCATTTGAAACAATAATGGCTCTCGTTTTCAGTAAAATAAATCTATTCTCTCTCTCTCTCTCTCTCTCTCTCTATCTATCTATCTATCTATCTATCTCTGTCTGTCTGTCTGTCTCTCTCTCTCTCTCTCTCTCTCTATCTATCTATCTATCTATCTATCTATCTATCTGTCAGTCATTCAGTCTGTGTGTTTATCTATGCGTTTATCTATACAGAAATCGAGCTAAAGAGACATTTTATTTTCGAATTCAGCCAGGAAGAATAAATTAAACAATGGACGAGAAAACTTGTCAGCCTGGAATCATTATGAAACCGCCCTTGTTTTGATTGGTTTAAAAAGTGTATAATTGTACACAGGTCGTCTCCCTCTGTGTGTTTAAGATATTTTTCCTTCCTAAGTAAATGTTGTTTAGAAATCCTTTGTTCTTTGTCAGATCTTTAGCCAGTTTATCATTTCAATAGAAAAATAGACGCAAAATGAAATTTAAAGACATCTGCAAAAAAATGTGTACAAATTTCGTAGTGAAAACTGAAATAAACAAAAAAGATATAAATCTTGTTTAAAGACTTGACGTGCAATTCCTTCACGTATGCATTTTGAAACATTTAAAGATAATATAATGGTGAAATTAACCATTTCCATATAAGACATATTCGGCATTTATTTAACAAAAAGCGTAACTATCGGTTGAAAACATTTTCTTCCGGAAATTAAACTTCTTATGTCTACTGTTAACACTATTTATAGTGCTGATAGGAATTTATTTCCTAACCTTTTGTATAAAGTAGAGTGAAAATTTAAAACCTTACTTATTCTCCATTCTGTTTATCCATTTCTCTTGTTACTGGTCTTGGATGTTTTAAAGTGATGTAGTTTTTGCTATTTGATAAAGATCTTTACCTGTGATTGTGCAGCACCAATCTATAGGTTCTGATATGGAATTGTTTTCTTTAAGACCTAAATGATTCATTTGCTTTATTCGTTTTTAATCCCTAATCTGAGAAAAAAGCCCTTTCTCATAATATGTCCCTGAAATTTCAGTTCTCCTATTCTAAGTATGAGTGACGCCGTTTTATTTAGAGGTTAAGTGTTCTGTCTATATTTTTCTCAGTATCCGTATATCGAAGCACAAGTTTGTCACTTCAAGTCACTTTGTTACTTGAAACAATTGTCTCGTGTTCACTGTCCTACAGGAGTGTAGATACCAGTTAAGCACTCATCTATTGCTAACAAAATATTCTCTTATTGCTGCCATATATGTTCTGGAGCCCCTACTGTTTGCCTCGGGGTTCTTGACAGGCTCCAGAGGCGGATATGCAATATAACTGTCCCTGTTCTGGCATCTCGTCTACAGTCACTCTCTCACAGATGCGCCGTCGCCTCTCTCTGTCTTTTTCACAAATACTTTCATGGTAATTGCTCCGAGGAGCTGCATTTGCTGGTTCCCAGACTTCATGAATTCAAGCGCCCTACGTGGCTGGCATCCCGCTCTCACCCTTTCACTGTTGAAACTATTAAATGTAGCCGTCTCTTCTACTCCGATAGCTTCATATCTCGCACCTCTCGCCTGTGGAACTCCCTTCCCTATTCCTGTTTCCCTAAAAGCTATAATCTCCAACTATTCAAATGTAATGTCAATCGACATATCCAGTTACCTAGATCTATCCACAATCCTTATCCTTTCCTCTATCACTCCTATCTGATCTTGCTCCAAATCTTCTGTAACCCCTTGCGTCCTAGTGGCTTCCAGCCTTGCTTGGGGTGAAACGCTTAAAAAAAAATAATAATAATTTTGCATAGTTTCTGAAAGGTACCTTTTGCTATTCCAAAGCCCCTTCGGATTTATGCGAGACATTATTCGCTTTGTTATTACACCACCTAGATAGTTAAATTATTGTACATGCTTGAATCTAATGATTACAATCCGAAGCTCACACCTTTGACTGACACTTTTGCTGATTAAGATACATTCTTACTTCTCATAGTCAGTTCTTCTTCTTCTTCTTCTTCTTCTTCTTCTTCTTCTTCTTCTTCTTCTTCTTCTCCTCCTCCTTCTTCTTCTTCTTCTTCTTCTTCTTTGCGCCATGTCTATTTAGGAAGTTGGCGATCATGACAGCCTAATATTTCCTAACCGTTGAAGTTCTTAGTAAACTTTGCCTTTTTGTTATCTTTCCTAAACCCTGTTTTGTCATCCATTTACACAAACTCGTTAGATAGGTTATACAATGTTTTCCTCTCTCCCTGTTGTCTTCAATATGTCCTGTGTGTGTCAGATGCACCAAGCCCTCTTTGCTTATTATGTGCCCTACAAACTCCAACTGTCTCTTCCTGATGTTAAGTGCAAGTGTCCTTTTTCTTTCTGTTGTCTCTAGAACTTCATCGTTGTTCACATATTCGGTTCATGGCATGCTCTTTTATAGAACCACATTTCTGTATCCCTTCTTCATCTATGAGCTGATTGTCCAGAATTCACTGTCATATGGCAGTGAATGCTGAAGAGAACTGATATTGCGTAACAGTTCAGTACTCTTTTCTTTGTTTCTAACGAAATTTTCATGTTTCTTAATATTTTTCTTAAGTTTTGGAAGGCATCTTCCGTTATCCCAATGCACCTTCAGTGTCGAACTTTCCGGCCCCGGTTAAAACACTTCACAGATTTTAAATTTTTATACTTGCTTTATTTTGGTAACTTCAATTTGTAATTTGTATGTTAGGGGGTTTCATTGCTTACTGCCATATATTGTCTTCTTGCATTTGGTGTTTAGTCCTTTCTTCTCGCTTTCTCGGCATCCTTCTGTAGAAACACAATTCTGCTGCTTCAAGTCGATTCTTCGTCTGCATGAAGATTGACATTATTCAATATCATAGAAGGAGGACTGAAATTACGTAACAGTTCAGTAACTTTTCTTTGTTTTTTCTAGACATTAACGCAAGTTTGATTAAAATGACTGACAAGAATTTGTTTTTATTCATTTGTTTAGTTTTTTGTTTATGTAAATGTCTGCTTACACTTTTTTTTTTGTAAACTCAAACCGTTTTAACGCTAGTTAATCCCGAGCAAAACATTGTGAGCATCTCAACAGGATGAGCATTGCTACTCTGTATAGAAATGCATATAACAAGATTAGCCAAATTTGCTCAATGTAAGAGTCACATACAATAAAGTTCAGATGTTTCAAAGACGCAAGACATGAACAGAATTTAGACATACGTTTTTGTTACATATACATTAACATTAGACTTACGTTTTAACCCAATGGGGTCTCAATTTATATCCAGTAAATAATTATAAAGCTTGAAATTTTTCTTATTTACTTTTTATATCAAATTTTGATGAAAAAAAGGAGCTCAACTAATATATTTCCACGAGCCGCGTATTAAAGGTCAAAGTGCCGTATGTGACCCGCGAGCCGCGGTTTGTCCACCCCTGGCAGAGAATAATGGTAATTCCTCTGCATTTAGTTCAATATCAATAAGATTGAGCTTACATACGAAAGTTTTTATCTATGCAAAATGCGTGTGATCTTTTTTTTCCTTTTTTCTTTTTTTTACAAAAAATGATCAGTGGAAAATGTTGTGAAGCTATTTCTGAATTTACGTCTCTGGTTTGGACACGAAAGGATATGTGTATATGGCAGAATTCCAAGAAAAAATGTGGCACATAATTCCAGTTGTAGTTGGAGCCCTCGGATTGACAGAAAAAGATTCCGATAGACCCATTGAAGGGAATCCTGGTAGCCCATGCCTTAAAGAAATAAAAAATTGTACTCACAAGTACAGCTCGCACATTATGAATAACTTTATCTATGTAAAATCTGCGTGATGTTATTTTATTGTTTGTTTGTTTTGTTGGTTTTCTTAGGTTCCTGGTTGGGACCCAAAAGGAAAAGTTTATAGAACAAAAATCCAAGGAAATAATAATAATAATAATAATAATAATAATAATAATAATAATAAGAAGAAGAAGAAGAAGAAGAAGAAGAAGAAGAAATAGAAATCTCGAAAATGTGGCATATGGGAACATCAACAATCCCTGTTGTAGTTGGAGCCCTAGGACTGGTTGGAAAAAAATTGCAGTAGACTAATTGAAGGGATTCCTGGAAGTCCATGCCTCAAAGAGATCAAAAGTTTTCTGACAAGTACAGCCCACACTTTACGAAGGGCTTTATTTATATAATTTTTTTTTTTTTTTGTCATTGGAAAGTGTCATGATGCCATTTCTAAACTTAGGTCTCTGGGCGGGACCCGGAAAGAAATGTGTAAACGCCAGAAATCAAAGAAAATAATAATAATAATAATAATAATAATAATAATAATAATAATAATAATAATAATAATAACAATAATGACAATAAAATTAGTAGTCGTATTAACAAAAAGAGAACGGTAAAAAAATAAATTCCCTGAATAAATATACAACAAATAAACATATATACATGCATATAGAAAATAGTAATAAAAAATAGATTCGTCATTTGCGCATGCGTTTGTTTATACTTGCATTGAAGGACATAAATTTAATATTTTAAATAACATTTTTTAATTTAGTTTTAAAATCAAGCCCTATTGAGTGGTGTGATATGTTGGAGGGGAAGTAAAAGACATGTTAGTACCTTTAACTCATGATACACATTTCCCAACCTTGTGGATTCTTAAAAAAAAAAAATAACGATCATAAGACGTGAGGGTTGGTCCCTGGATTCTAATGTTACAAAATACACACTTATGATATGGCATGTTGAAAACGAAATCCAGTATTTCTATCACCAAAGCCAGTTAAACAGGGCTGAAGGATTTCTTACAAAAACGATCCACCCATTCACTATCAGGCGAGTGAGAGAAGCCGCCTGGAACATTATTCTGAGACTTCGTGTATTTTGTAGTTATGAAAAAGTGAGGCCATTGTGGATTAAATGTCGGTTATCGTTCTACCTACGAGACTTTCGAAGGCGAAGTTAGAGAAAGGGACACAGAAATTAGCAATGATTGGTCGACTTTTGAAAATAGTTCATAGTTATGCACGTCTAGGGATCTAGATAATTCTTAGTCCGACTCAAGGCTAAAATACTAAAGCATAAAAGTTATTATCCATTTGAGTTTATTGACTATAAAATAATCCATGACAATGACTAACAGTTTAGCCGAAAGCTCTCGGAACCAACAGAGTTTTAGTCATTTTTCTATTCATTAAGTCCAGAAACGAAACACACTAACAGGCGACTAAGGGAATCGTCAGGCCTGAAGATTGCGTTTAGCATAAAACAGACTATCCCCTCTGGGTATTGACTTCAATGCCCACTTTTATATTTACATGTGTTCCATCCCTAATATTGAGAACTTCAGCCCATAAATATAGCATACTTTAAAACTATATTTTATCATATATATATATATATGTATATATAGGGTGCGATGGGTAAATTGTAGTCATTTATATTTTTAATTTCGCGCATGAGAATGACTTATATATATATATATATATATATATATATATATATATATGTGTGTGTGTGTGTGTGTGTGTGTGTGTGTGTGTGTGTGTGTGTGTGTGTGTGTGAATGTATACTTAGAAATCAGAACATTATCTCAAATCATATAATCTTCATATATGAAACATATGCGGTAGAGCATTTTTTTATCCAAAGAAATCCCAAGTAGATTACATTGATAGTTTTTGTGACAAAGTAGGTGGGTCAGAAGCAGGTCGGAAGTGTCATATGAGAGTGTATAAGGACCAGATAAACCTTAAAACCAAGCACAAGTTTTCATTTGCGACATATGAAGAAAAACCTGCAGAATTTGAGCGGGCCTTTTGAATCATACGCTTGCAACCACTTAATCCGAAATTGAAAAGATTGCCTCTTTCTACCAAGAAATGGCAATCACTGTATGCATGCATTTATTTCTTATCTATGTATTTCTTATGCTTGTAGGATTTATGTGGGATTTGTTTATGTATGTATATATTTATGTATGCGTTAATGGGAGCTAACTACGTATTTACTTTTTGTATAATATGTGTGTCTCGCTTTCGATGATGGTCTTGGATTTCTTCTTGCATTTGTAAAAAGAGGAACATAATAAGGATGCTGATCATAAATCGATGTTGATCTATCCGTGGTCTCGAAAAAGAAAAGAAAAATGCGAGTCTATAGGATACGGGGAAATATTCTAGAGATTTCAGAAAACTTGTTTTTTAATCTTCAATGATAACCCCGAGACCTCTGGTGGGAACTCAATCGTAGTTAATATTAACATACAAGTTGCCTAGAAGATCGCCCTACTAGGAACATTCCATATACTAAGAAAAGTGCTATCAGTTAAATGACATTTCTCCTATAGGGTCTAAGGACCATATTTTGGACCCGGCTCTACATGATACAAATCAGGAAACATAACATATACAAAATATAATAATAATAATAATAATAATAATAATAATAATAAAATACAAGGTCCTGGAGATAAAGGCGAACAAGATGTGTGCAATGAAGACTGAGTCTGTACCAATAGTAATCGGAGCTCTGGGCCTCGTGAGAAAAGGAATGAACAATTTTCTAACTGTCTCCCAGGTAACATCAACATACAAGTTGCCCAGAATATCGCCCTAACAAGAACATTCCATATACTAAGAAAAGTGATATTAATTAAATGAAAATTCTCCTATAGTGCCTAAAGACCATAGTTTGGACCCGGCTCAACAGGATACAAACAAGAAACATAACATACACAAATAATAATAATAATTCCGTGAAATACGTCTGTTTGGTGCTATGGCACACATTATTAATAATGATTTTTTCCGAAGATCATTAGGGGTTTCGGATCTTTCAACAATACACCCTCTCCACGGTGACCCAGTCGATACTAATCGGATAACGGTTTGTGTGCCATCCATCAGCTACAACTGCTTTCATAATGCGCGTAACAAACTACTACTACGATAATAATAATAATAATAATAATAATAATAATCGGAAAAGAAAGATAGCCTCCTTGAGTTGAGCAAGAGATCAAAAGATACATTTTTCTATATTACTAACAAAAAAAAAATACTGCTGTCGGTTTCTGATAAGACGAATTTTACTCGCTTTTTTTTATTTACTAGTTGCT